AGACCCCCCCCCCCCCCCCCGGCCCTTTCTTGCCCGCTGTCTTGTTACTCTCAGTTGCGAAGTATGATGCAGTGCTACGGTATTGGTAAAATTTATTCAAAATGAATGTAGATAAGTGCACTCTATCACTTAATGACAGCAAATAAACGTTTTTATCCAACAATATATCTGTGAAATCGACTTCTTAATAACCCTAATATTAAAACCAATACAAACAACCATAACAACACATTCATCAGCATTTATTATTTATGCTGCTGCTGCTGTTTTTACTCACATTATATCTGTAAAAAGAGCTTATGAATGAACTAGGATTTTGAAATTAGAATTAGAGAAGACCACATTACAAATTGACTTTCTCCTCATATCTCATCCCACACCTTAATAATAATACATCAAAACAAATGTTTACAACAAAAGAAGATCCATACAAATATTCAACCTCCAAACCACGGCCAAACAAACAATTTATGATTTACCCTTCAGAAGAAGAAAACAACAACAACAACAAAAGATATTATCATCACAGTTAGATCCCAGATTTCATATCAAAATTTAAATAAAAAGAACCCTAAAATCTTACATATCACGGTCTAATGAACAAATCCAGAAAACAACAAACAAATTCTTCTGCGACAAGTCCAAGAAAAGAAATAAAGAGGGAAAAAAATCAATCTAAAATAAACCCGCCGAGATATATATCATAAAAAAATAATAATAAAAAATATATAAATCAAAGGATCCGACCTTCTAAGATTAAATCTCAATATTCAATATGATATCGAAGCCTAAAATAACTATGGAACTGCGATACCGTATACATACCTTGCAAGGGCGGCCTTTGATGACTATGTAGCCATTCTTACGGATTGTTCCAGCTTGCTGTGGGTAGGTTTTGGAGGCTCCGGCATCTGCCTTGGACTCGAAATGGTGTTCCTCGTCCGACATTTTTGTCTCTCACTTTTGTGCGATCTTGCTGCGTTTATTTACCTTATATTCTTCGAGGAGTACAGTGCTATTTTGTTTTGGGGAATTATACAAGTTTAATTGAACCGTGTGCTTCAGAGATTGTACATTGGATTTTTGTTTTATTTTATTTTGTTTTTATTTTTATTTATTTTTTTGTCGTGTTATTTTGGATACAAAATAGATAAATTGGTGCTCAAAAGGTAGAAGGATGGCTAAAATCTTTAATATGGGTCCAATACCTCCAGCGTGATAATTATTAAAAGTAAGAAAGGGATGTAAAAATGCAAAAATTGAAATGTGGGCAATAATAGATCTTTTTGGGGCGAGATGGAAATGGTGCACCATCATAGACGAGGCTAATAGTCAGAGACAAATCCTTCTATTTAAGTATCATCGCTCTTTTGCGTACAATAGTTCTAAAGATTAACCATAAAAACACAAAAACATATATAATGGAATATTTACATCAATATCTTATCTCCGTTTATTGTTCGATATTTAGAAATCAGTTGTATTATGTGTACAATCGAGATTAACAATCTCGGTTGACAATTACACACATGGGAAGGAGTCCACACTGAATAAAAAAAAAAATTGTGGATCCTCCTTCTATGAGTGCATTGTCGATATCGATTGTACAAGAAGAATAATTCATTTAGAAATAAGCCCAAATGAATATTTTTTCCTTCTAATTATATCCTTTTGAGTTCTTGTTTTCTTTAAAAATAAATAAATAAATCTAAATGACATTGATGAAACTAGATACACAAATTAGTCAAACTACCACAAAAAGAAAAAAGTACCGCTGAATCAATGTGGTGGAATAACTAACATGTTGGCGTTTACAAAATAAGGTAACAACCTTAATTCTATTATCATAAATTTATAATTCTCAATTAAAATATAAATTGCATCACACTAAATTTTACCAAGCAACGTCCCAACTTATATTATCACTAAGTAATCAAAAGCCCTTAAATGCTTGCTCAAGTAATAAACGAAGTGCAGCGTACATTTTTATTAATAAAATAATCAACGATTATTGGAAGATGAGGGCGCTTCAAGACTGGCAGATCAAAGGTTGTGAGTTCGATTCCTGAAAGGCTCTTGGAATGCAGATATTCTCCTGGAAGGTAGAAGTTCTACTAGAAGGTAAGGTGCAAAGATTGGAAACGACTTGCTTGGCACTTTGGCAGATCAGTTGGGGGGCTCTTGAGCACTGGTCAGTTTGAGTCACAATCTACGGTTTGACCTGTCTGCAGCTTGAGGGGCCAAGGTGTAAACTCCAGGATTTAGTCACTGTAAGGTGGATACTGGATATAAAAAAAATCAACGACTAAAACGTCAAATATGTTACTTCCAAACTTTACTTTTTGTATCCAAAATAATTAGTCCATGTAAAAATAAATAAATAAAAATGCATGATATAACATGAAGCATAGTTACTTAACACCCGCACGACCCAATAATTAATCAGGACAAAGTTAGCGTGATGCTTTGCAAAAAACGCCCAACAAAAAGTTTTTTGAATTCTTTCTCGAACGATCTTTACAAAGATTTTCGTTAATCTATTAAGCCCATGGATTCTTCAATGCAGATAAAATTGGACACTTCGATTTCTCCAATAATCTTGTACTATGATAAATACGTCGAGTCTTCAGGCAACCTCTTCTTCCCAACAACAAAAATTTCTTGGTTTCCTTTTACCCATTTTTAGGTACTTTTTTATTTTTCAGATCATTTTGTAACGAGTAGGATTTGTTTTTATGAATTTGTGATTCTATCTCAACGTTATTTGTTTGCAAAGTGGATTACTAATTTACTATGTCTGAATTTCAAAGTATGGGAGAGATTGATACAAAACCAATTGAGTCGGTTCAAGTTGCAATCTCATTGTTCGACGAAAGAAAAGATAGCCCTACGAAGAATGACGTAAGTACTACATATACTTTTGTACTCTATCGAACAGTTGCCTAATTTTCGAATTGTTTCACTTCAGTTATCAAACTTGTCCTAATTATATAAAATCACATGATTTTCATATTTTCGGTTTAAACACTCCGTCTACTCTCGTATGCAACTAATAGAAGAGCTGGCATGTAGTGGGGGCGATGACACTAATGTTGTGGGGAGGGGGCTGCAGGGAATTGACGATGAAATTTTAAGATTTGTACATTCTTATTGTCATTCATTTCATATAAAATCATACGCTGTCTCAAGATGGGATGACTCTTTTAAGAACACCTTTCTTCAAATATGATTGCTCATTAAAAAGAGTAACTAAGTTAGTATTGAAATTTGATTTTGTGCATAACCAATCAAGAATTTTACCCTTAATTGTATTGGGTTAAGCAAAATTTCTTAGAGCATTATTTCCTACAGCAGGAAATAGAGAAGGAGAGAGAAGTAGAAAGCCTATTAAAGGACTTGGCTAGTGTAAAAGTTCAACTTGAGGTAAAAGATTTGGCCTATAAGCAGGCCATCCTCAAGCTTGATCGTTATCAGAAAACACAAGATGAACTCTCAACCTTGCTCAAGAATGCTGATTCTGTGAAGATCAAATACATTGACGAATGCAAAAAATCGAATTTATGTATGAATCAACTAGAATCAACCATGAAGGAGATGTCAGATAAGTTGCTCGAGTTTGAGAACGTACAAAAGCAACTTTCACATGTTAAAAATGAGTGTATGACTAGCCAAGAACAAGTCCTAAACATGGAAACACAACTTGATGGGCTCAGACGAGCAAAGGTTGAGTCCACAACGCAAGTTGAGGCGATGGAAACTGCTTTACGAGAGGAGAAACTGAAAACCGAAGAGCTTCTGATGAATGTTTCACAACTCAATGATACTATTTTCCACATGCAGATGAAAGCTCATGAAGTTGACGAGGAAAATACTGAAACACAGTTAGCCGAAAAAGTAGTACTTGAAGCAGAAGCACAGTTAGAATGTACAAAAAAGCTAGAAAAAGAGCTTCTGGAAAAGTCGATACTCACAGATTTGTTGCAGTTGGAACTGAAGCAAGCAAATGAGCAATGCAGTTGTTCTCAGAAAGTTGCTTCTGATGCCATTAATGAATTAAACGAGCTGAAAGAAGAAATGGAACAGCGACGAAGAAAGAATTTGGATCCTGCTGCTTACATCACTTCACTTGAGACAGAGCTTGAAAAATCGAAGACTGAACTTACTAATGCAAATGAGGAGGTAGGCTGGTTGAACGCAGATGTTGAAAGAATGAGGGCCGAGTTAGAGAAGAACAGAACCAAGGTGATTGAGACTGGAGAAAGAGATACAGAGGTAACACAAGTCGAAATAGCATTACTGAAATCTGAACTTCAGAAAGGAAGATCCAAACTCGCTGCAGTTGAGGCTGCTGAAGCAAGAGCTCAGAGTGAAAAATCAGCATTATATCACGCAGTTCACGAGCTAGCATTAGAAGCTGAAGAAGCCAAAAATGAGAATCGAAAGCTAAAAGAAATAATAAAATTGGCCAATGAAAGTAAGAGCGAGGAACTTGTAGAAAAGGGCGAGTTAAAGGCAAACTATGAAGAATCAGAAGGTGGAATGGAGATTCGTGTCACCATTTCAAGAAACGAATATGAGAACTTGATCGAGAAGGCTGAACGTACAGTCCAAGTTGTTGAGCTGATGTATGAAAACGAGCAAGAGTTGAAGCACTTAAAGAAAGAGTTGGAAGCTGTGACGTTGAAAATTGGAGAACATAGGACACGAGCAGAACAAGCCATAAGCAGAGCCGAGGCAGCTGAGAAGGCAAAAGTACAACTTGAAGAGCAGAAAAGGAGGTGGAAGGAACACAAGGAAAGAAGAAAGGCTGCCATAGCCGAGTTGCGTGAAGAATCATATTCCAAAGATTACATTGCCAGTTACAAGCATGATAATGATATTACAAATTACCAACCTCTAGGTAAGGTTCTTAACATGAAATTCTAAGTTCAAATGTCATTTTGCCTAATCAAAAACTCTGTAGACCTGATTTGAAAAAGATCGTTATGCTCTATCATTATTTATGGGTTTTGATGGATTATGTTCTAGTTTTTAACCCTTTAAGCTTCTATGGGATCTTCCATGTTTGTCAGTGGCAATCAATTGAACAAATTATAAGTAATTAAGTATATTTACAAGAGAAAAAGGGAGTTGTGTAGGGTAAAAGAAAAAAATCCCATATGGGTTTTCCCTGTGCGTGCTCATTGAATATGCAGTAGTATAAATATATTGATATTAATAAACCAAAATCATCACATATGCACTAGATAAACCATATGTTGGACGTTCGTGATGCAACTTATCCAGTAAATAATCACATGCACCAGAAACACCAGATCTTGGATGCAACACTTAACAGCAATCTATCTTCAAAGCAGCAAAATAACTTATGCAACAGTAAATCAGTTTGAAAGCATCAAACAGGAGATTTTCCTAAATCACACCTTGAGTGTTGCAATGGAGTAGAAATGCTACAGCTTGAGCATCTCTAAGTTACACAAAAGACGGTGAAGAATTTTAAATGAGAGCGAGCAACAGAATTTATAGTGGCTTTGTAGATGCTTCCTCTATGTATGCTATTGCTTCCGCTTCCGACAGCTGTTTTCCTTCTACAAGTCCTTTAACCAAGGTATTGGCATACGCTTTGGCAGGTGATTTTACAGGCAATTTACCAGACTTGAAGTTTTCAATATCCGAAAGAGTGCACCTGAATTCATATCAGTTAAAATATGATAAATAAACTATACTACTCGAATCTTTCATAATAATGCTAGAGATGGTAGGCATATATGCTTACGTCATTGTTAGAATTGGAATATTGTTCTCCTTTCCCAAGTAAACAACATTATGGTACCATCCTCTCTGCATTAAATAGAAAAAAAATGGGTATATATAACAGTGTAATTGTACAAATTAATGAATGCAGAGACATCACTCAAAAGTTAGTACAAGTAAATGAAATGTTCCAGGTCCACAAGTGATGGGTACTTAACACAGAAAGATAAACAGAGAGACGAGCAGACAATTTGAAGGGGAAAATCTGTAATTAAATATCAATCTTAATTATCAAACATCAATAATAATAGTTCAAATACAAGCGAA